AAAATCAGCATTAAGTCAGAATCGGGTAATTAGATAAGAATAATTAGAGTGATCTGATCACATTTGGACACAAAAAAAGTAACAAGAACTGAACAATGCTATGATTTCTCTGTACCTTCAGGGAAAACCGCTGTCTAGATGGTAAACACAGAGGCACATTAAAATGAGAACAGGTGGATACTTCATTTAACAAACTGCAGAGAATTATAAAAAAAGAGAGAGAAGAGAGACTTATTGGAATTTTTTTAAAATGCTAATTCATGTTAATGCTCAGTTGATCTTTAAATTGTTAATTGATAAGCCTGAAATAATAACCCTGTTATAGGGCAGGGATAGCTCAGTAGGTAGAGTGGTGGCCCCATGATTGGAAGGTCGGGGGTTCAATTCCCCTTAACAGCTACCCTGAGGTACCCCTGAGCAAGGTACTGTCCCTACACACTGCTCCCCGGGTGCCCAATGGCTGCCCACTGCTTCACTGAGTGAATGGGTTAAATGCAGAGGAATTTTCCCAACAGAGATCAATAAAGTATACTTTCTTTCTTATTTATAAAAACATTTATAAATAACAATTTAACAGTTTAACATATTAAAAAATATTTCAAGGTTTTGTTTTTGTTTTTCTTTGTTGTACTACAAATCACTGATATTAGTATCACACCCACAATGGCGATCCAAGAAACAGATAACCTCACATGTGCACGTTACAAGTCAGAATTGCCAGTTTATGCCCCACAATATTTTCACGGACCGTCATTTAAGTTGTCGTGGATAAATACAACAAAATAAAACTAGTACCGGTACTGAAAAAAAGAAGATTTATTCATTACACATGTGAAAAGACCCAGGAAAACCGAGTTAACAATAAAAAACAATAACAAAACAATGCTAAAAAAACGATAAAAACCCTGAAAACCATACATTTCACACCCCAGCCTCAACTCTCGCCACCCTGAACCAAACCACTCACGAACCGGTACTGGTCCATGGCCCGGGGATCGGGGACCTCTGATATAAATCACACACTTTAACAGCTTGGTTCCAATGATTTAAAAAAAAACACACACACTTCTTAATTGCCATGTGGGTTTAAATAAAGTATTGTGCATTTAAATTGAAAGTATTAAATAGTGTTAGCTCTGCCTTGAAATGTCAATATAAACTTATGTAACTGCAAAGAAAACACTAGAGAGTAGTGCTACTAGTACTACAGGTTGCACAGTTGTGACTTTTTCTTTAAAAGAAGGGATTCAATGAGCCCCTTCTCAAGATTTCTGGACAGAATTGGACAGACATGGACTAAAATGATCATAAAAATAACTTTAAATAGGATAATTTTATTAAGAATTGTAAAAAATGCCTGACGTGATTTCAGACAACTGGTAACAAAAATGCAACATAACCCAGTATTTACTGTTCTGGAAACAGGGTGAATACTATTTAACAACATTTAGAACTGTAAATAAAAACCTTTTAGAAACAGCTTCTTCTTTTTGACATTTGTCAAATAAAATACCCTATCACAAAATGGTTATATATTACTTCAGTAAAACTTTTTGGCCTAGAGTACATATTTGACATTTCAGAGCTCTTGATTTCTAGCCAACTCCTCGTGTGCAGCGTTGTTGATGTTTTTAGCTGCTCTAATAGCTGATTTCATAGATGTCTCAATCCAAGCATGAGGGAAAGCTGTGTGCTCC